TAAGGAGCGAGGATTCTAGTGACTTTGCACCATCTCTGAACTGCAAAAGAGAGAGAGAGATCCCCAACGGGAATGTAACCAGCTTGTGTATGGAAGATGTGCGGGAGAAAGGAGGTGTGAAGACTCACTAAGGCTAAGACACAGTGAGAAGCAATATTTTCAGCAAGTGCATCGCTGAAAACAAGGAGGAATTTCTTCGAGAAAAAAAATTGGATGACGGGAACGTGAGGACCTCCCCAGTTGCACACTATATCTTTAAATTGTGGTCAGAAATCAGAATTTCATCAAATTTGCCCAAAAAGCTTACCTAGTCCACCAAGTGAGTCAATTGAGCTGAGTTGTGCACGTTTTCCGAGGCCGATACCACCCAGTGTGTCGAACGATGAGAGTGCTCGCTTATCTCCTGTGGACTCGAAGCTCTCCTTAAATATGAAAATCATTTATCTGTGCTCTTTGCGTTCCTTTGAGAATAAATCTGTGCTAAAATCGCTAAGGACCATCTTGAGCTAAATTGCTGGAAGTGGTCTGCTAAGCGTGTACGTGTGTGACCGGCCCTTCATGAGTTCCTTCAATTAAACTTGAGTGACACAATTAAGTGATGAACTGGGATGGAATGGGCCATGATCGATGCGTGATGAGTGTCGGTTAAAGGTGATATCAACTGACAACAGTTGATAATTGGCATTAGAAAGGAAGCCACAAATTTATAGCACTCCACAGCAGAGCAGCGGGATGACTATGGTCAGAGTAATGAGCAATGGTCAGTCTAAAATATGAAATTGCTGAGAACTCTCGTCTTAAGATGGAAATCAGTTCTCTCAAGGAAGCCTTGGCCAAAAGTAACGAGGCATGCTCGGGAGAGCGGATTTCATCCGATACCTCTAATTCACAAACCGAAGCATGATTGTTGTGAGCACTCTGAAATGAAGTAGGTCTATTGTTATTCATGGGATCGCGGAGTTTGATAGTCCAGATTGTACTCAACGAGTTTCACACATGTTCGATTGTATCAAGAAGATCTTCCACTTCCTTGATATAGAATGCGCCCCAGTCACATTTTATAGAATGGGAAAGCTCACCTCTCGTATCCTAGACTTGTAGAAGTTGTATTAACTAATCCTCTCTCTCAACAAATCCTTAAACGTGCGTCTCGTTTGCAGAACTTCCGGTGAGCGGGATTTATATTCGATCATTCCTCCCTTTGGCAGAGAGAATTCGCCTTAGTGAGCTGAGAAAGCTCAGGACGGCCAGTCATAGTGCCGCCCCTGAGCGCAAGCATGGTGTCCAACCACGTTTGTTCCTAATTCAAATATTCATGTTGCTGACGCTTAATGTTAATGTCACTAACTCTTCGAGACATAGTGCCGCGATTCACTCCACTGTTAACTCTTCTGATGTAACTATTCGTTCATGTCTAGCAGTGGTCCAGCTATCAATGTGCAACCATCGGAAAACGCATAACCGCTCCTCGGCCTGCGGGTTGCAAAATAAATTTTTCCCTGAGTAACGTGCGGTCTTTAAACCGTAATGCATCTTCTCTTGCGTACTCACTTTCTACGCATAGCTTGGATATTGTGGCCTTAACGGAGTGGTCGATTAGCGAGTTGAGGCCCTTTTTTACGCGAGTTTGTTGGCAACATATGAGGTCTTTAAGGTGTGAGCGGAGTCAGATTTAAGCGGGGAGGATCGCTTTCGGTGATTAGGAGAGGTCTTAATGCCAAGTTTTTTTTTTTTTTTTTGTTTTTGTTTTTTCAGGAAAGGCGGTACTGAGGCCGTATGAGATGGCCTCGTTGTGATCTGAATTTGAGGGAAATGAAAAGTATTCGGATCCATTATTGTTGTGTACAGAACGCCGAGCTGCAATTCGGAGCACAGTGATCAGTTTAATAGGTGCATAAGCGATCTTGCTTCTAGTGACTGCATTTGTCTCCTAATGGGTGACTTCAATTACCCAGACATTAACTGGAACGACAACTCTTCTCAGGCGGCGTCATACTCTAACTCTTTCGTGGAAATGATCAATAGCCAAAAGTCTCTCAGTTAGTAAATTTCAAAACCAGAGGGGATCACACCCTTGATCTTTTATTCTGCAACAATCCCGATATCATAGCCAGTCTCCATGCTACTGCTCCGGTAGGGTCTAGCGACCATACTTCGATAGTTTTTAGTCTCCTCAGTTCTTTTGTAGACGAAGAGTTTACTTGGAAGTACAACTACAGTTAAGCAAATTATGGTCTCATCAATGAGTACCTCAGTTCCATTGACTGGATAGGAGTCTTCTCAAATTTCCGTACCAACCGCAAAGAAGAAGTAACTGCTTAGAAGGCTGCAGCCTCCAAAGCCTTCACTCCTTCTTTGCGGTTGGTATGGAAATTTGAGAGAGATGGCGCAATAGCTGTCTCAGATTCCTGTAAGGCTGAAATGTTGGCAACAGTTTTCGAAAAAGTCTACGTGAATCGATGTGCTCCGGCATCTTTTGGGTCTTTTCACGATAGTATGACTCGTATAGATAATTCCGTTTCATTCACTCGCTATGCAATCCTGGAGCAAAGAACGGAGTGAAACGGTCAAAATCCTGCGAAGAAAAAGCCTCCGTTCTCAGTGACTTGTAAATCGATTTCGGACGAGTTTCCCGTAGGCATCTTACAATCACCGCTACCGAAGATACGGCTGCATATGTGTACCCATGTATGCATGCAGCATCACGGCCGCTTCATACCAATCCCTTCGCTTCATAATTTGCTTAGCAAATGAATGAATACGAGCGTCAGGAACGGTCGTCCATTTGTGGGCGGGCGGGCGTGGCGGGCGTTT